CCCCCCCCCCCCCCCCCCCCCTGTCGATGAATGCAATGCACCAAGTGCAGCAGAGGTCCGTCGCTGCGCGACAATCACACACCGACAGTTCACTCAACACAAATGGACAGACCAGCCCCTGACGAGCTGTCTGTCTGAGCTCGACACCTACTGCTGAACCAGATTAAAGCCAGCCCGCCAGCCGGTCAGTCGTCTCGAGGAACATCGCCAATGACGGCCTTCCACGTACCTGCACATACACAAACACAGAGAGAGAGAGAGATGTGTGTGTGGTGTGTCGTGTGCGTACCGCCATATGTTTGGGATGAGGGCATGGCCATGCCGTCGCTGCCGACAGTCGCATGGCGAGAGCTGTCAGCACCACACACTGACGGCAACACAAGCGACACACTGCAGATAGCACCGCTGTTCCTGTCCGGCCGTTGCAATGCACGTCCAATGTCTCGCCGCGCTTGGGCAGTGAGTGCGTCGACGCGACGCCTTCTCCGTCTCATTCAGGGCATTTCGCAGAGGTCGTGTGGGCGGAGAGCGTCTGCATTCGTTATTATCCGTTCGGTCGCCGCGAGAAGAGTTCGCGTTTCTCGACGAAAGGAGACGGGAGACGGGAGACGGACCTTCTTTGAGAAGTTATTGATTTCTCAGACAGCGCCTCTCATTTGACATTCGTTCAATCCTCCTGCGCATCGCCCTCAGCTCGCAGCAAACGGCTGACCGTTGAGGAGTGAGAGAGAGCAAACAGCAGCGACATGCTGTCAGCGTCCTTCGCCTATGTATGTCTACAGCACAGCAGCAGCAGCGCGACAGCAAGAGCCCGTCGGCACGGATCAGGTTCAGCCGTCCCCTGGCCAGCCGTGCCATTTCACGACAGCGACACCAACAGCACACCAAGACCGTGACCCACCCCGTCGGCACGGATCACCGGCAGACCTCCCCTGCCCAGCCGTGCCACAAACAAGACCACCGCCAGTGCCACCACACACACCAACGGCGGCCAAGACGACTGGGCTTCGTCTGCTGACCACCGCGGCAGAGTGCCTTGCGGGAGAGGGCCGTAGAGACCGTGGCTGAGGAGCCGGATGAGGTGTGCGCCGACGTGGGCGAGGAGGAGCCGAGCATCCTCCCCCTGCCGCACCTCAGCAACACGGCCGCCACACGCCTCCCCGACCACCGCGGCGCCAGCGAGGCCGGCAGCAGTTTAGACGCCGCGGGAGCACCAAGCCCGTCAGCAAAGAGGGAGGGAGAGGGTGAGGGTGAGTGGGAGGAGGGCGATGAGTGGCTGGCCGACTTGGGCGAGGAGGAGACCCCCATCAGCCACCCTCTGTGCAGCAGCAGCACTCTTAGCATCGCCACTCGGGACGGAGCGGGCTCTACGGCCGATGATAGCAAATCGCAGCAAGGTAAGTGACGGACTGTCTGGTCAGTCAGTCAGTGTGATTGGTTGATGGTCATGAGTGAAACTGTCGTATGTGTGTTGGCTCTGCGCTGCGTTCCGTTGCTCTCTCTATGTGCAGGTCTGTCAGTGGCCGAGCCGTGTGACGAAGGACCCCCTCCCGCCCCTATCCTCGCACCTGCACCACCCGCCATCCTGCGCCTGAAGAGCGGTGCCGAAGTAGAGCTCCGAGTCAAGCTCGGCGAGGGCACTCGCGGCAAGGTGATGGCCGGCGTGGTCAACGAGCGATGGATGGCCTTCAAGATGGCCATCAGGGGGGCGGGCAGCCGGACCATCTGCGAGGAGATGGAGGCCGAGAGGGCCACGATGGAGAGGCTGCAGCAGCGGAAGAGGGAGAGGGGCGAGATGGGCCTGTTTCTCGACATCTACGTCTACGCGGGTCCCTCGGACGGCGCCACGTTCCGCGCCAGCCCCTCTGAGCCGCCGCAGGAGGTGGCAGCACCATGGACGACGCTGACTACGACGAGTGTGGCCTCATCGGCCATCGCTGTCTACGTTTTATATTCCGTAGTCCTTTTGATTCATGTCTCGCGTCGATGTGTCGGCTAGTTCGCAGCGTGGGAGTGACCTACGGGAGGGAAAATAATTGCTTGATCAATCGCCCACCCATGTGAGGACCAGCGGCACGAACGTGTAGCCCTTCTGCCGACAGTTGGCACCGTACTTGCGGTCCTTGTCCCGTTCTACACAAAATACAAAGATAGACAATGACGAGTGCACTTCTGACCCTCTCCCTCCCTGTCTCTCCGTTGTGTTGTGTTCGCTGCTCACCGAAGTCCCACTGGCTTTGGTTCTTCCGCCATTTGCAGCGATTCCCAGCGGACAGATGTGCACACACACAAATGACACACGGGCGCCCATAGCCACGGCAGGACGCTGCAGTGCTCTGCATCGACAGATCTATCTGGCCAGTCTTGCAGTGATCGAGCCATCGCAGCACACCATGCGTCTGAGTGCCGTCATGTCGGCCGGGGAGGGTGGTCAGAGGCGACAGCACACCCAGTAGGTCACCCTCTGCACAGCATGCAGTCCTTGATGCCGGCCGGCCGTTGCAATGCAGGTCCACAGCCTCGCCGCGTTTCGGCAGTGAGTGCGTCGACGCGACACCTTCTCCGTCTCATTCAGGGCATTTCGCAGAGGTCGTGTGGGCGGAGAGCGTCTGCATTCGTTATCATCCGTTCGGTCTCTGCGAGAAAAGTTCGCGTTTCTCGACGAAAGGAGACGGGAGACGGGAGACGGACCTTCTTTGAGAAGTTATTGATTTCTCAGACAGCGCCTCTCATTTGGCATTCGTTCAATCCTCCTGCGCATCGCCCTCAGCTCGCAGCAAACGGCTGACCGTTGAGGAGTGAGAGAGAGCAAACAGCAGCGACATACTGTCAGCGTCCTTCGCCTATGTATGTCTACAGCACAGCAGCAGCAGCGCGACAGCAAGAGCCTGTCGGCACGGATCAGGTTCAGCCGTCCCCTGGCCAGCCGTGCCATTTCACGACAGCGACACCAGCAGCACACCAAGACCGTGACCCACACCGTCGGCACGGATCACCGGTAGACCTCCCCTGCCCAGCCGTGCCACAAACAAGACCAAGACCACCGCCAGTGCCACCACACACACCAACGGCGGCCAAGACGACTGGGCTTCGTCTGCTGACCACCGCGGCAGAGTGCCTTGCGGGAGAGGGCCGTAGAGATGCCGGTGGCTGAGGAGCCGGATGAGGTGTGCGCCGACGTGAGCGGGGAGGAGCCGACCATCCTCCCCTCCCGCACCTCAACACGGCCGCCACACGCCTCCCCTACAACCACCGCGGCGCCAGCGACGGCGGCAGCAGCCGAGAGGCCGCGGGAGCACCAAGCCCGCCAGTAAAGAGGGAGGGAGAGGGTGAGGGTGAGTGGGAGGAGGGCGATGAGTGGCTGGCCGACGTGGGCGAAGAGGAGACTCCAATCAGCCACCCTCTGTGCAGCAGCAGCACGTTTAGCATCGCCACGCGGGACGTAGCGGGCTCTACGCCCAATGATAGCAAATCGCAGCAAGGTAAGTAACTGACGGACTGGTCAGTCAGTGTGATGGGTTGTGGTCATGAGTGAAACTGTCGTATGTGTGTTGGCTCTGCGCTGCGTTCCGTTGCTCTCTCTGTGTGCAGGTGAGTCAGTGGGCGAGCCGTGTGTCGGATCCAATACAACGGACGAGCCGCGGGGCGTGTGCAGCCCGTCTCCGTCGCCCGGGTCACCGATGTCTGTGCCCTGTGGGTCCGCCCCGTCCTCGCCAACGGCCACCCCTCCTCCACTGGCGTTCGTCCTCACCGAGAGCGTCACGTTTGTGGCCGAGAAACGACTGACCGGCGGGAGGGGCCACTGCGAGGTCCTGGAGGGGCGACTGCACGTCACCGAGGGCGGCGTCACCACCACACGACACGCCGTCATCATGAAGTCGGCCGCCAGAGGGGACCCACAGCGCCGCGACAACCAGAGGACCGCCGAACACTACGACAGGCGGTGTGACGAGTATAAGCGGGGGGCCAACATGGAGGCGGAGGGGCAGTGGGCTGAGTACATCAACTCTTTCGCCACGGCCGCCCAGCGACAAGAACACCAGCACCAGTACAATCGCTTCCCCGAGACCCACACCGGGACGGCCCACATCGTACCACAGGTGCACATCCGCAGCAACAGGCAGCCCGAAGAGCCGCAGACAGAGGGGCAGGGCCACTTCGGCGACCACTACGCCGTATTTGACAAAGTCGGCAACGGTACGCACCCTCCCACTCACTCGCCGACAGAGAGACAGATAGACAGACACTACACAAAGAGGGACAGATGTTTGTGTCGCGTCATTTCTCTGTCTCAATCTGTATCCGTATGTCTGTCTGTCTGTCTGTCTGTCTGTGTGCAGGCAAGGAGCTCGAGGACGTGATTTTCGACTCGACGTGTGGCAGCGACGACTACGGTGCCGTGGTGGGGGTCAACGTGCTGCTGTGCATGCTTGGGCTGCACGCCCTGGGCGTGACGCACAACGACTACCACTACGGCAACCTGCTGGTGGCGGACGAGGCCACCGGCGGGCTCAAGGTCATCGACCTGGAGAGCCTGCGCAAGGTCGTGTGGGCCCGACACCCCACAGCAAAATGCAGAGAGG